GGTAGGAAGCAACAGCTTAGGAGGGGCAGGAAGAGACATGTATTTATTTTGAGCATATTCCCTGTCCAGCTGCTACAACTGAAGAACAGAACGTGTTTGGCATCCTTCGAAAGACTGGCCCCATTCCTTTGAATTAAATTAAAATGAAAAAAAAAATTAACATCTTCATTTGGGGTTAAAAAAAAAAGGTCAGAATTTTAAGAGAGCACCAATTCTTTTGAAATTTCAAAAAAACTTGTCTAGTTATGTCCAAGTCATCGTGGTCTTTGAAAGATTTCCCAGTCCTAGAACATTTGGGGGAAATATAAGGGCAACACACAAAAGCTTTCATGAGATGGCCCTCAGGACACAATGAAGTTGCAAGAGGCTGGAAGAGGGTGTGATCTGAGGAGACAAGTGTATAAGGAACAACTGAACACGTCACCAGTGAATGTTCTGCTGTGTAGAAAATATTCATTCAGTTCAGGGTGCATTAAGAATAACAGAATAACAGAGCTGGAAGGGGCATTGTAGGTCTTCTAGCCCAACCCCCTGCTCAAGCAGGGAAACCCACACCATTTCAGACCAATGATTGTTCTTAAAAACCTCCAGCGTTGGAGCACTCACAACTTCTGGAGGCAGGTTGTTCCACTGGTTAATTGTTCTCACTGTCTGGAAATTTCTCCTTAGTTCTAGGTTGCTTCTCTCCTTGATTATTTTCCATCCGTTGCTTCTTGTCCTGCTTTCTGGAGAATAGGTTGACCCCCTCTTCTTTGAAGCTATCCTTTCAAAGAAGGTTATCGAGAAAGGGAAGAAATTTAGAAATTTAGGTCTGTCTGAAAAAGTTGAAGGAGCTGAATATGTTTTCCCCAGAGAAGGAAAACTAAGAGATTAGAAATGAGCTTTTCTAATCCCAGAAATATTATCTTATAGAAGAAGGAACATCTAGCTTAGGATATGAAGGCACCAATCTCACCTATTCAAATCTAGGAGAACCTCTTGAAACTCAACAGCAGAAGAAACATATGTTCTGGAGAATAAGAGAAATGTTGACAATGTGTCCAATTACTTAGATCAGTGGTTCTCAACCTGTGGGTCGGGACCCCATTTGGGGTCGAACGACCATTTCACGGGGGTCGCCAAACAATGCAGTCCGCCATTTTTTCCCCCTTTTCCTTAGCTGTGCTCCTCCCTTTTATTCTATTGGCTTTTGAAAGCCAATAGAATAGACTCTCTTGAATAGAGTCTAATTCTACTGGCTTTCAAAAGCCAATAGCAATTGCCCAGGCTGTCTCTGCCCTGCTGAGCCTGCCAAAAGTCCCATTCTGCAAACAGTGCTGCACCAGTTGAGTAGTCCTCGACTTACGACCGGTTGCGGGTCGCGGCATTAAAAAGGTTGAGAACCACTGACTTAGATGGAAGGGTGGGTTATTCTTCCTGGTGGACTTCAACCAGAAAATCGGCCATTATCATTTGGGGATTATTCTAATTTCCTGCACCAAAGAGATGAATGGGCCAGATGGAACACAGAAGTTGCCCTATATTTTGCCTGATTATTTGTCCACATTCTGTAGTGATGGAAGTTCTCTAGGTACCCAACAAGAAAACTTTCCTAGGAGATACTGAGGATAGAACCAAGGACTTTTTCCTCAGTGACTATAATGAGTCACTTAAAGGGTGATGATAAGACAGCATATGTAAATGTGGTTTGGTGTCTTACCAGGATGTCATTCCCATCTCCAAAATGAATGGTTCCTTCTTGGTGGTGGGAATTGAACTTTTCAGCCTTCTAGTTAGTCAGCATAAAACATTCAGTCCTTGATTTACCCTGGATATCATTTCAGGTTTATTCTGGATTAAACATGGATGTTTTTAGGCATGCAAGAACTGGGCATGGCTAGTCTAGTGAAGAGAAGGACCAGGGGTGACATGATAGCACAGTTCTAATATTTGAGGGTCTGCCACAGAGAGAAGGAGATCAACCAATTTTCCAAAGCATCCGAAGGCTGGACAAGGAACAATGGATGGAAACAGATCAAAGAGAGATTCAACCTAGAAATAAGGAGAAATTTCCCGACAGTGAGAACAATCAACCAATGGAACAGATTGCCTTCAGAAGTTGTGGGTGCTTCCATCACTGGAAGCTTTCAAGAAGAAAGTGGACAGCCACTTGTCAGAAATGGCACGCAATTCTCAGTTCTGGCTTTGCATTCCTGCATTATGCTCGACTTCTAATAAAACTATGCCTTCCTCAACAAATGGAGCCAAGGATCATTTCTGCTTAGATGTTAGATCACGTGAAGTATTAATACCACTCTTCAATGCCTTGGTAAGGCCACACTTGGAATATGGCATCCAGTTTTGGTCACCACGATGTAAAAAAGATGCTGAGACTCTAGAAAGAGTCCAGAGAAGAGCAACAAAGATGATTAGGGGACTGGAGGCTAAAACATATAAGAAACGGTTGTTGGAACTGGGGATGTCTAGTTTAACGAAGAGAAGGACAAGGGGGGACATGATAGCAGTATTCTAATATCTCAGGGGCTGCCATAAAGAAGAGAGAATTAAGCTATTTTCCAAAGCACCTGAAGGCAGGACAAGAAGCAACGGGTGAAAACTGATCAAAGAGAGAAGCAACCTAGAACTAAGGAGAAACTTCCAGACAGTGAGAACAATTAACCAGTGGAACAGCTTGCCTCCAGAAGCAGTGAGTGCTCCAACACTGGAAGTTTTTAAGAAGAGACTGGACAGCCATTTGTCCGAAATGGTGTAGGGTTTTCTGCCTGAGCAGGGGGTTGGACTAGATGACCTCCAAGGTCCCTTCCAACTTTACTACTATTACCTATTACGTTTAACAATCAGGGTACAGCCGATTATCTCCAAAGCAACTTAGATGATTCTGCTAATGCTGATGGTCCTACGTATCAACAAGTAGTCTGTCCAATGTGAAAAGAGGAGAGATGGTCTTCTGGATGACGATTTCCATGAATCCCATCCAGCAGAGCTACGGGTCCAAGATCTCTGGCAATGGGGAACTTGCCCACCTGTCCACCAAGTATCTCTTGAAACAATTTACTCGTTCTGCAAAATGTGCAGATTTGCACGAGAGCTTCAAAGCAGAGAGGTGGTAGAAAGGAAAGGGGAAACAGACAGTTGGTGGAATATTTAACAGGCTAGAATCCTGCAAAACCCAACCTGGAGCAAGCATCAGATTTCCTGACAGGTTAATTGGAAAGCAGATAACAAATGGATATTGGAGAAAAGCAAACTCTGCATCAGTTGGAGAGTAGAGAAGAAGAATGATGGTTAGTAGCCGGGATTCAGTCTTGGGAGAAAGTCTATAACATGAATTAAGGTGCCCTAGGCAACCTTCAACCCCAGGGCTGCCTATTGGTAGTGTCTCAGAACTATTTTATTATTATTAAAGAAACTAATTTGATGTTGAACCTTATAACAGCTGCAAGACTATTGGTGGGGCAATATTGGAAGAAAAATGTATTGCCTACTTTGGAAGAATGGATACTTAAAGTTTCTAATTTAGCAGAAATGGCGAAAATCTCCGCCTATTTGAAGGATCAGTTACAAGAAAAATATATTATGATTTGGAGAAGATGGATTGATTACATTCAGAAGAAATATGAGATTGAAAAGTATTATCTTGCTTTTGAGTAGATTTTAGATAATTATTAATAGTTTTAATTATCTTATTATCTTTGATTTAATTTGTTAATATTTGTTTGGAGAAGGAGTTAAAGTGTGTTATGGTTTTGTTTGATAGTATAGTTGGTTTATGTTAGTTAGATTATGCTTGTTTATTTTATTTTTTATCCTGTAATCGGCTCTGGGAAGTGGGGGAGGGGGGAAGGGGTGGGGGTGGGGGTTATATTGTAATAAATTTATCAAACTTTTAAATAAAAAAAAGAACTATTTTATTATTTTATTTTATTTTTTTGCAAATGGTAGTAGCATTTCTAAAGGTCAACATCCCACCATCGTTAAGGCCGAAATACGAGAGCATGAAGTCAAAGGAGCCTTGGTGGAGTTGAACCACCGGTGGGCAGCAATTGGCTGCAGGAAAAGAAATAGGAAAAGGGAAGGGAGGGAGAGGAAGAAGGAGAGGGAAAAGAAAGGGAAGGGGAAGAGAAGGAGGTAGAGGGAAAGGAGGGAGTGAAAGGGAAAATGAAAGGGACAGAGGAGGGGAAAGAGGAAAGAAAAGGAAGAAGGGGAAGAGGAAAGGGGAAAAGAAGGAGGAAAGAAAAGGGGAAGTAGAAGGAAAGGAGAATAAGGAAAGAAGGGTTCAAATATAATGGAAAGGAAGCAAAGGAAACAGATCTAATGGCAAGGCAAGGCAAGGCAAGATCTTGCCCATCCACCTCATAGCATGACCCCTCCTTAACTCACTGCTTTCCCTGCACCAGTGATGGCGAACCTTTTAGAGACCAAGTGCCCAAAAACCACCCCCCAACCCCGTCCCCACTCTGCCCTGCCCACTGGGCCACCCACCACCTCCACGGCCCGCCACAGATCACCCAGGCAGCCCAGCAGCGCCATGGCAGCCATGCCCTCTGCCCATGCCCCGCAGCATCATCTGCGCACAACGGGGTGCAAGGGCGGAGTCTTGTGCCCGCTGCCCGGCTAACATGTCCTTGGCTGCGCTGCTTCGCATGGGCCGTGCCCAGGGGCGACTCTCCTCTGGGGGGCTGCTGGTGAGGAGGGGGCCATGGGAGGAGGCGGGCTTGGGTGCATGTGTGCCCACAGAGAGGGCTCCGAGTGCTGCCTCTGACACCCGTACCATACGTTCGCCACCACTGCTCTACACCAACACAATGTGTTGCATTGCTCCATAAACAGAATACACTTAATACACCTCCTTCCTCTCCCGGGTATACATTAAGAAACTCCTAATCTGCCTTGCAGGGCTAACGCAACGGCATGATTCCCCTTGAGCAAAGTTGCCCGCAATAGAGAGGAAGAAGAGAGCCCGGAAACCATCCCTTGAAACGTGGCTGGAGCATCCTCACCTGGACAGGTGGACCCGCTTCTCGGTGAACTGGCCGGGGCCGTGGATGGGGTCCTCGTGGGGCTCGTTTTTCATCACTTCCACCCCTTCTCCTCGGTCGCTCTCCTGATGGCTGTGCTTACTGATGGTGTACAGCTGCCCGACTCGGTACTGTTGAGGAGAGGAGACCACAAGGAAAGCCACCGTGAAGGGGTTTGTGCAAAGGGGAAGGGTGGGGGAGGAGGAGGAGGAGGAGGAGGAGGATAGACTGAACCCTTCCAGGGATACAGGTAATTCTCGACTTATGACCATAACAGCTCCCAGACTTTCTGTTGCTAACCGAGAACAGTTATTAAGTGAACTTTCCCCCATTTTACGACCTGCAGTTGTTAAGTTAGTAACACGGTTGTTAAGTGAATCCGGCTTCCCCCATTGACTTTGCTTGTCAGAAGGTCACAAAAGGGGATCATGTGGCCCCCCCCCAGGACACAGCCACCGTCATAAATACGAGTCATTTGCCAAGCCTCTGGATTTTGATCACATGATCGTGGGGAGGCTGCAGTGCAAGAACTGTAAATGTGAAAATGGTCATAAGTTAACTTTTTTCGGCGCCGTTGTAAGTTTGAACGGTCACTAAATGAACGTGTGTAAGTTGAGGAATACCTGTATTCTCTCTGCCATGAGAATTTACAATAATGAACCATCTGCCTGGGGTTTCATCAGCCCAGACAGGGAAACATACCCAGATGAGCTAATTCTACAGGGAGCGCTCGATTTATAACCCTAAATTGCACTCCCAATTTCTATTGCTAAGTGAGACATTCGTTAAGTGAATCTTGATGCATATTACGACCTTTTTTGCCCCAGTCATTAAGTAAATCACTGCAGTTGTTAAGTTACTGGCATGGCTGTTAAGTGAATTTGGCTTAGAATACGAATAATTGGGTTAGAAGGGACCTTGGAGGTCATCCAGCTCAGGGCTTTTCAACCTTTTCACCCACTGTACCACTTTTAGGATATGGCAACATCCGAGGACCACCAGTTGCCTAGCAAGGTGTCAAAAACTTGATGACCAAAAAAAAAAAAAAAAAAAAGGGAAAACAGGAGAGCGAAAGACCACGATCGCACACCAATTGACATATTGGCGCAGCAAGGGACTACGACGATTGGACGCATGGAAGAGCAGACCAGACTTACAAACTCCAGGAAAGGACATTGAACGAACACGACCAACAATGCTGGCACAGCAGAGAGATTGCGAGCTAGAACAACAGCACTGCATGTGGGGGATACACCTAAGCAAGACAGTGGGGAGGATAGTCAGGTGGCGACCTCAAGATCGGGCTCCACAAGATGAACATTTTAGGTGGGTGGGGCATGTTGGGAGAGGCAGAGCAGTAAAATTCAAACGGATGTCGGTTAGCATAGCAGAAACAAGATTGATGCAGCCAATCGTAGGTATGCAGGGGATGAACAGACCTATGATACGCTCATTGTATAAATCTTAAGCTTCCCAAAGACTATAAGGATGAGCATTCCCAGATCCTGGCTTCTACTTTGACAACATCAGCAGCTGCTGTCAAAAGCTTAGTTCTTAATAAAATTTTTAGCCTCGGAGATCAACGTTTTTAGTAGTTTCTTTCTATTATGAATATACCTGAGACTTGCATTTTTAAAATAATTTTATATGTATTTGTATTGTTGTTGTTGTTAATTGCGAAGTTGTGTCCAACCCATCGCGACCCCATGGGCAATGTTCCTCCAGGTCTTCCTGTCCTCTACCATCTTCTGGAGTCCATTTAAGTTCACACCTACTGCTTCAGTGACTGCATCCAGCCATCTCATTCTCTGTCGTCCCCTTCTTCTATTGCCCTCCATCTTTCCCAGCATTAGGCCCTTCTCCAGTGAGTTCTTCCTTCTCATCAGGTGGCCAAAGTATTTGAGTTTCAACTTCAGGATCTGGCCTTCTAAAGAGCAGTCAGGGTTGATCTCCTCTAGGACTGACCGGTTTGAACGTCTTGCAGTCCAGGGGACTCGCAGGAGTCTTCTCCAGCACCAGAGTTCAAAGGCCTCAATTCTTTGGCGCTCAGCCTTTCATGTATTTGTATATGTATATTGGTGAGTTCTGTCTAACAAAGTGTTCCTCTTCTCACTATGAAAGGATTTGATCATCAAATCAATGTCAACTCTTCACAGATGGATTTTCTCCGGAAGCATCCGTTCCTAACCTAGTCTTTCAACTCCTCCAGAAGTGCATTTATCGTCATTGTAACCAGTATCCTTCTTGCTGCTGGTTGTCTTCTTCCCTTTCAATCAGAATAACAGAGTTGGAAGAGACCTGGGAGGTCATCTAGTCCAATCCCCTGCCCAAGCAGGACGCCTATACCAAGCCAGAAAAATGGCTGTCCAGCCTCTTCTTAAAAACCTCCTGTGATGGAGCACCCACAACGTCTGGAGGCAAACTTAATTTTTCTCACTGTTAAGAAACTTCTCCTGGGTTCTAGGTTGCTTTTCTCCTTGGTTATTTTCCATCCATTTTCCATCCAGGAAATTTCTCCTTCGTTCTCGATTGGATCTCTGTCTTCCAGTGGTGATGATTGCACCCTTGGAAGAGTTGAAAGACCAGGTGAGGGACGGAAGGCTTCCATCCATTACTTAGTTTAAAGCTGGCGTATGTTTCTTTCCACTTTTTCTGGTTGATAGTCTCCAGAGAATTGGGTCTTCCATTAATGTGGATAATTTGATCCTTGTCATTTGTGCTTCTAATGAAAACTCTGGGCTGATTTTTTTTTTTAATGATCCAGTGGGGTTTTCCCCCCTTGGCAATCCATGGTCTTCTCAGGAGTCTTCTCCAATGCCACAGTTCAAAGTTCTCAGTACTCTTCCTCTCCCATTTCTTCAAAATCCAACTGTTGCTTTTGTAGAGCAGCGGTTCTCCACCTGTGGGTCGGGACCCCATTTGGGGTCGAACGACCATTTCACGGGGGTCGCCAAACAACGCAGACCGCCATTTTCCCCCCCTTTTCCTTAGCTGTGCTACTCCCTTTTATTCTATTGGCTTTTGAAAGCCAATAGAATAGACTCTCTTGAATAGAGTCTAATTCTATTGGCTTTCAAAAGCCAATAGGAATTGTCCAGGCTGTCTCTGCTCTGCTGAGCCCGCCAAAAGTCCCATTCTGCAAATGTTGCTGCACCAGTTGAGTAGTCCTCGACTTACGACCGGTTGAGTAGCCCTCAACTTACGACCGGTTGGGGGTCGCGGCATTAAAAAGGTTGAGAACCACTGTTGTAGAGTGTCACAGGGAGAATCACTGGATGCTTCTTCCTGAAGGCAAGGCCCGTATTTTGCAGAGAGAATTTTTTCCTCTGAAGCCTTCCTGCGAAGGGAATTGTTTCTCCAGAGTAAACACCACCTGCCCCAGAAAGCCATCAGCTGCCTTGCCGCAACCTGCGCGCCTGTTTGCCAAGCTCCGACCAACAACGGCAGCTGTGTTGAAATGAGCTACTTTTAGCCTGGCACACAGCAAAGAGGAGCGGAATGACTAAACACGCTGCCTGCCTCCAAGCCCACGTGAGCCCCTCCCAGCTATGGGGGACGGGGGGGGGAGGTTGGCTCAAGTTGTGCTTTGGCTCCAGAAGCTGCTTGCTTGCTGTGTGGTCCAAAGTTTGAAAGATGTAGAAAAGAAGCAGGAAATCAAATCAAAGATAATCAGCTCTCATCATGAACGCAAGCTCCAGTTTAAAGAAACATTTCCAAGGCAGACATCTTGATTCTGTTAAGGTCCCATCTCCAGTCATTTAGGAATGAAGGCTTCCTCAAGGAGTCACAGCCCAAGGACCCTCATACCGGCTAAAAAAGATAAATGTAAAGATTTCCCCCATCCAGTTGTGTCCCACTCTAGAGTACAACGCCCATCTCTGTCTCCTAGCTGAGGGCGCCAGTGTTATCCAAAGATGCTTCTGCTGTTATGTGGTTGGCATCTGTGGTGGGATACAGCCAGTTCGCACCGGTTCGGCAGAACCGGTAGCTAAATTTTGCTGAGTTTGGAGAACCAGCTGAATGCACACTGCTTCCAGAAGTCCCTTCTAGGCCTCAGAGGCCTGGAGGAGGCTTCCCCAGCCTAGAACGGCCCGCCGGAAGTGCGTGGATGCCACTTCCAGAAGTCCGTTCTAGGCCTCGGAGGCCCAGACCTGCATCCAATAAGAGAACTGTTTGTTCAGGTATTTGAATCCCACCACTGGTTGGCATGACTACATGCCAAGGTGTAAGGAACGCTGCTACCTTCCCACCAAAGTGGTACCTATTTATCTACTCGCCTTTACATGTTTTCAAACTGATAGATGAGCAGGAGCTGGGGCAAGGAATCAAAGAGCTGTGCCAAAATCAAAGTACATCACGGTCTAGCATCTTCTATGTCCAACTCAAAGAAAACAAAACACCTGGATTCCAACCCTGTGCCAGAAAATCAACATGCTGAGCTGAAATCTTTAGGACGGCTGAACTAGAACCAATCCGTCAAGCTGTCAAATAAAGGCTTCCACAATCTTGGGTGCTGTTGCAGAAAATACATGCCTGCACAACAGAAGCTTCTAGCTGCCTTCCCTTACAAGGGTATTAATTTTCTCTTAGGGGAAATGGAAGCTGCATTAGGGCAGTGGTGGCGAACCCATTGGCATGGGTGCCAGAGGTGGCACTCGGAGCCCTCTCTGTGGTCACACACATCGTCTCCCCAGCCCCGCCTCCTCCCACAGCCCCCTCCTCAAAAGCAGCCCCCCTGGAGGAGAGTTGCCCCTGGGCGTGGCCCACACGAAGCAGTGGAGCCAAGGACATGGTAGCAGGGCAGCGGGGACAAGACTCCGCCCTTGCGCCCTGTTATGCGCAGATGATGCTGCGGGGAAGGGGCGGAAGGCATGGCCGCCATGTGCTGCTGGGCTGCCTGGATGATCTGTGGTGGGCCGTGGAGGTGGTGGGTGGTCCAGTGGACAGGGCGGAGCAGGGACAGGGGTGGGGGGGCAGTTTTGGGGCACTCGGTCTCTAAAAGGTTCGCCATCACTGCACTAGGGCAATAACAAGCTTGCGTGATCCCATGTTGGCTAGCAGGTAATCCTCAACTTACCACTATAATGAAGCCTCCCCATTATTTATTTGTATCCCACCATTACTACCACTA